GAACCCAAATCCAATCTATGGTTAACTCTGGTTAACCAAGTCAACTTAGGTTGACCAAGGGCCCTTTAAGACCTTAAACATGCATTTTGCACCAAATGACTTCACCAAACCTTGGCACAACTTCCAACATGTTCAAAATAACACTTGGAATGAGTCAGATCCACCCTTGACCCTTGGTCAACCCTAGTTGACCAAAATCACCCTATACACGTACAAAATTCATTTCTCAAAATTTTAACCAAATCATTGAATCAAACTTATAGGGATTGTTCATGAGGTCAACATGTAGTTTACGTCTCAGTGTTAAAAAAAAAACATGAGACCCCTAAAAAATTCTAAAATCTTGGGCCCACATGATTTTCCAGATAGAGTTGAACCAACTACTAAAAAAAAAAATTCTTGCTCTAAATCAACACCCTTATCAAAATAAATTATTAAAATTGTTGTAGTAAGTGAGTATTTACCCCATGCACACACCCCAAGAGTTTTAACTCATGGTTCGACCTGGGCCCAAAGTATGGGTTAAACCAAGCCTCCCAAAACCCATTAAATAAAGCTTCAATCCAACCCAACCCAATTGGCATGAGCCAACACATAGTTAGGCTCTAGAAGCTTCATTGCACATGCCCAAACCATCTCATGCCACATGGGCTGCTGATGGGGCAATAACCTCCAAAACAAACTCTCTCCATTAATTGTTTCAAGCCTAACTCCCTCAACAAACACCTTGTGCTTTCAAACTCTCAAGAACCTTCCCTTGACTCCATTGGTTAGTCATTAACTAAAATGGCTACTGGCCTAGCTTAGGTGACAAGATCTAGACCCTCTATTCAAATTTCTCTCGCCTATAAATACCGCCACTTCCCAAGGCCCAAGAGTTGATCAACTTATTTCCACAGCCTCATAGCAAGCCCCTAGTTCTCCCATAGCATCTCCAACCCTTCCATATTTCAAAAATCTCCCAAACCAGCAAGAGGGAGAAAGAAAAAGAGAAAGAATAATTCAAATCCATCTCTTGATCCAACCATCATCAGCTCTTGAAGTATCCTAGGAAATTGAAGAGGGTCTCTCAAGCTTTACCCCAAGACCAAGATCAAGAATATACAACTACAGTTTAGGAAGTTATCTTGATTTGAAGTTTTTTATCAAACTCAAATTTCTCCTAAGTTTTCAATGCATCGAGCCTTGAAACTCCATGGGTTGAAAGATTAGAATGTCATGATCCTATGTTTCAAATTTCATCAAATTTGAATGGTTGGATAAAAAGTTATAAGTATTTGAAAATTTTAGTTCATTCTGAACTAAATTGACTCTGGATTGACAAGAGTCATTTGATCATGCATTCAGCGCTATCGAATGACCCGTAATGGGCTAGTTCACCCAAACAAAACTATGTGCCAGTTGAGGGTTTCAAACCATTATCGATCGAAACTGCGGGAGGCTACATGGCGCGATCTTGGCCATCCATCCCATGCGGTCTGATTTTAATCGTCGAATCGAAAGATCTGACGTGGATAACTGAAACCACATTGCAAGATTTCATTCCAACGCGTTTCTCGACATACATCAGATCCAGAAATGGTGACGCTGCCTTTTTAAATAATAAAAATGAATTTAAAATTCATTTAAATGCCTATAACTTCCAAAAATCATAGAATTTTATTTTTTATCTAGATTGAGCGTTCTTAAGCTTATTGAAAAGCTCATGAGCTCTATTATTTTCTAAAAATAATGTAAAACAATTTTGATCATTGAATTTTGATAAAATATAATTGATTGATCTCATATTTTCTTGAATTTCTCAAGATTCAATAGTCAAATTGATCTCAAATTTGAATGGCATATATTAGGGTGTATCCTTGACCAACCCTAATTTTCATGGATCTTGATTTGATTAATTTTTTTGTGATTTAAATTTTTAAGTTTGTGGGTTCATTTTGGACCCACAACTTTGAAAATTCATAAATATTCATGCACATAGAATTCTATTCTCATTTTTCTATGATGTTTTTACATGTATGTCAGGGTTAGTTTGCCACTAATTTCACCCAAATCCAATAAGTGTAGCTCCTAAAAAAATGACCAAAGCTATAGATATAGTTAAAATTGGTGATTGATTTTTCAACCTAAAAAGGCTATGTTGAGCCTAAATTCAGTGAGTTTGAAACACATGAATGCATGTACCTATGTTTCGAATTTCACTATATTTGGACGTAATTTGGTATGTCATTTAGTGAAATTAAGATTCATGTATAAAATTGACTCAGGGACATTGAAAATTCATAATAAATTAATTTTAAATCCAAAAATTACAAATAATATATCAAAATTCTTAGAATTAAAATCACAATAGAGGAAAAATAAAAGTCCTATCAGATTCAACAAATATTAAAATTTATTTCAGAAATCAAGAAATTTATTTATTTATTTTAAATAAATATTTATAAATATATAAAAAAATATAAAAATAATTTTAAACACCTGAAATCATCCCCATAAGTCATTTTTTATATTTGCAAAAGATTGCAAGAGGTTTGGAGTTGATTTGGTAAAAAAATAAAAAATTCTCCTAATTAAATAATTAAATAAATACAAAAATATATCAAACTTCAATAATTTATAACTAATTACACAAAACTACAAATTCAATAAACTCAAAGGCATTGGACTATCTTTGGTCTAGTATTTATGAAAAATATAAAAATTCAAAATTCATTGTAAATCAAAAAGTCAACATTTAAGTTAAATTAGTTTATAAAATGCAATATACTTGTAAAATTCATAACTAATTCCAAACTTAATAAATTCAAAAGCATTGAACTCGTCTATGGGTCTAGTACAACAACATCAAGACTTTAGCCCACTACGTGGGGTCAACAATCTATGAATCTAGTATTTATGAAAAATATAAAAACTTCATAAATCAATATAAATCAAAAAGTCAAGTAATAGACCCTACTTTTAATGCATTAAAATATGAAAAATAAATATATCATTAAAACTTCAATAAATCAACAATTCAACGAAATTAAATTAATAAACAACTTTAAATAAATAACAAAAATTCATGTCAATGAAGTTTTTAGGTTGTACTACCTCGAACTGTTGAGCTATATATCCAAAGAAGACTTTGGGCCCTCATGCTCGTTGTGACAATGTCATGAATAAATTTGACATAATATAAATACTAAAATATAAACCTAAATAAATCAATAAATAATAAATTGAAGTCAAATAAAAATCATTAATAAAACATATAGACTATGCAGTTTTTCATACCGTTATTCTTAGTTTCTTTTAGGAGGGCAAAGGTGTATTGAATTGAGAAACTTTAAGGACCAAGATATATAATTAAAATAAAAGACTCAATGCTATCAATCTACCTCATTCTTGGAGGATTGGTAGCATTACATTTTTTAGTTTAAGGCATACTGATCAACAGCTTCAGGCACTTAGAATTTTGTTGGACAATATGTTTTTTAAAACCTAAAGTTAAATAATTTCAACAAATCAAAACATCTGTAAAAAAATTAAAACCACTAAATCATTAAAACCTAAATTCAAAGCATCCTTTAAAAACCTAAAACAAAAAAATTCAATTATAAACAATTTTAAATTAATAAAACCTAGAAACTATCCATGCCACACGAACTTTTTACACATACTTAGATGGTTTGCTAGGATAAACAACTCTAGCCTAGGCTAGGCCGGTTGTTTGATTTACTTGCTAGGTGTTTTGCATGGAGAGTGTCTTACGTATATTTCTTTATTTTCAGCAAATCTAGATGTCATACATTTTAAATTCTTGATTGTGCACTTAGGCTTTTTAAATAAAATAAAATTTAGTTGGATAAATTAAATAAGATAAAATTTAGAGTTCTTAGTGAATCTTCTCACTAGTATCATTTGAAATTAAAATTAAAATTACTCATCTTAAGTCAAAAATTTTAAAGTGTGATTCATCTTTTGACTTCTTAGGATAGAACTCAGTCTATCATGTATTACATCTAGGGCGATTAATTGTACATTAGAATTGTTAGCAAGCAACTCACTCTAAGAAAGTATAAGTCCAGATTGTAAACACCTCTTCAGTCTTTGCACATTTATATTCATTTTTTTTTAATTAAAAGTCTAATCTAAATTCCGAGGACAACTAGAGAATTTATAATCTAAAACTTATATTTTAAATCTTATTAGCCCAAATATTTCTTTAGATCTATGTCTTTGAAAATCTTAAAGTCTTCATTTTAATCGGGAGTATTCTCATAGGAGATGTAATTTAACTATAAGGGCTTAGCTTTATAAGGAGTCTACAACCCAAAATAAAATAAACTTTATCTTAATTTTTTTCTAAGGTAGGGGAAGGATTTATGGAACATAGACCTTATCTTTAAACAATGAATTAATTTCAAAATTGAAAATGATATGTGGATGCTTCTTTTATCCTTTGGGGCTAATTGATTATTCCCTATGTAGTGTTCAATCATGAACGGAAACTTTCGCTTCTTAAATCGATAATGAACTATTAGTTTATCCTTAGGGATGGTATAATACCAATCTATGCATATTAGACTAAACTCAAAATATAAATTTCAAGCAAATTTTGTGTGGCATTTGCACTTGAATGTTAAATTAAATTTGTCCACACCTGCGTGCTTGAGTGAGAACAAACTGAGTCGAGAGCGTAACACATGCGTTTAAGAGAGACGAGAAGGAGATCGGGGCGCTCGAGCTAGGGTTTTGCATGCGGCAGAGAAAGATCGAGCGAGAGGGGGAGGACTCCTGTAATATCCAAAGACCCAACTTTGGTATGTGCTTATATTTTTGTGAAAAGTTCTGTGAAGTAACTATTTATTTAAAATAAAAGGATTCGTTATATGGTAGAATTAATATAATTAACTGAGTTTAAATTAACAGCCGAATAGATGCCTTCGGGAGGAGACTTTTGGAAGTCGGTTGAAGAGTGGGACCCACTCCTCTATCCTTATCCTGTAATAGTTTCATGGGAATGCTGCTGTTTTTGTTAAAGCAATGCAGAGAAATTCTGTAGAAAGAGGCGGAGAAGTCCTATAGCAGAAGTGGAGAAGTTCTATAGCAAGAGGCAGTGAAAGACTACAGCATATTGCGGACAAAGTGCTGAGTTTAACAGTGAATTCCTGTAGAAAAATTCATTGGATTAACTGAGAAGATCTCGGCCTGAAGCAGGATTTACTATTCCTTGGTTCGGCCCAGTGAATTTCTTCAGAAATTGGGGTGGCTGGAGACTGCGGTAGAAGAACAATTTAGTGAAAAACTGTAGCAATTAACAATGAAGAAAATTCAGAGATATCAGTAAAGGTATTTGAAGTGTTTTGGTAAATTCAATTTAGAAATTTTATCAAAGATTGAGAATGATGAATTGATGGAATTATAATTATAGTTTATTGTGAGCATAAGATCTGAAGAATATATGTGAAGTAAGAATCAAAGGAAAATCAAAGGAAGAAATCAAGGTATGTACATTAGTTTCTTTAAATTGTTTTTAAAGAAAGTTTTCAAGAAGTGTATATCAATCGTAATTGTAGGATTAATCAGATTTATGCAGAAAGAAAGTTTTGAGATAGTTTATCAAAGGAGAAGATTACATGGTGTAGAATTAGGAAAGGAAATTCATCAGGAAAGTAAGTAAAGCAAAGATTAATATTTAAATAAACTTATATGTTATTTTCATTTGTTTTGATTTAGAATGTTTTCTTCATACCTTTAAATATGACATGATGTTTATATCTTTGTTATGATATAATTCCAAGTCAATGTTTTGTAAGGTCATTAGAGAGTTTTCTAAGGTGATCTTTTTTGAAAAACTTATGTATATTAGACTTACACAAGATATGTCATGAATGACAATGAAGACTGATATATCTTTCTTGAAAAACTTATGTATATTAGCCTTACACAAGATATGTCATGAATGACAGTGAAGACTGATATGATATGAATTATGAAAGAATGTTGAATACTAAATTAATGTAAAGTTTGGCTATGAATAATGTATACCTTATCATTGTAGTTGGGACAAAAGGGTTCCCATATCAGAACTACATGATAAGTGGGGCAAAAGGGACCCCAGAGAATTATGAAGCCTGCATAGCAGTTGGGGCAAAAGGAACCTCTATATAATTCAATGGCAATAATGCTAGGTTTATCTGGGCTCCATTGAATAATGTTATAAAAAATATAGCCAAATCTTTCACATAAAATTTATATTCAACAAAGATTCAAAAGATAGCAAAGCATAATATTGATCAAGACTTATAATGTTTCAATAATAATTTTCAAAGTTGTAATTATTCATGTTATATTATTTTAATTGCTAATTAATCCTGCATTATTTGCTGAGCCTCATAGCTCACCAGAACTTTCTTCTGGCTGTTGTTACAGGAAAGGGAAAAGAGAAGATTGACGCAAGCTAATTTATGCAAGTGTTTCTTCTTTTTATGTTAGGTTACCTTTTGTTAGTAAGTTTAATTTTCAAGGTATGAAAGCAAATTAGACATGTATTACTTTGAAATTATTTGATTTTCCTTAGTGGCTATGTACTGGGTTTTGGATGAAACTTGGAAATTGGTGCATGCTTCCTTTATAGTATTATATGAAGTTTATATGATCTTTTATATGAAGTCTTAATGTAATGAAATCATAATGAGATGTTTAGTGATGGAAATGTATGTTTATTCTTGTTACACTCTACCTTACTGTTAAGGGGTACTGTGGGGTGTTACAACTCCTTACATACGAATCAACCGAGAGAGCGAGAGAGAGTGCAGTTCCGTGGTGAGAGTCAAATGAGAAGGAGAGAGCGAGCTGGGAGGATTTTCTACCATGAGTGGGAGTTACGTTAGTTATGAGGGTTTTGTCCCCATCTATTTCACCATTACTCTAAACAATAGACCCAATATATCTAAAATATGTACTCTTATTAATGACTTGATTACCCAAAGTCAAAATCCCCCCACTGGATCTATTACTACTAAAATTATACTCTATATATTTAATTTTAGATCTACTCAAACAAAAACATTTAGCCTCTTAGATTAACCTCCATAATTCAAGTTTACCTTCAACTCCTTCTCTAGTCTTATCAATAAGAAGAATATAATTAGCAAAAAAAATACACTAGGGTACAACCTCTTGCAAATGTCTAGTAAGAACATCCATGACTTAAAAAAAATGATATGAGCTTACGGTTGATCCTTGATGTAATCCAACTGAAATAGGAAAATACTTATTCAAACCACCTTGTGTTCGAACACAAGTAACAGCTCCTGCATATATATCCTTAACGACTTGAATATAATCATTATTAATCCCTTTCATTTCTAGAACTCTTTATATCACTTGTCTAACTTTATCATATCTTTTATCTAAACCAATAGATATCATATGTAAATCCTCCTTATTCTGTCTATATGTCTCCATTAAATCTCTCAACAAATGTATAGCTTCCATAGTAAATCTACCCAGCATGAATCCAAATTGATTTTTAGAAACATTAGTATCACGTCGTGTAACATATGCTTAATAAGTCTCTCCCAAAATTTTAAAGTATGACACATTAACTTAATTCCTCTATAATTTACACACACTTGAATAATGATCATGAAAATCTCCTATTACCCTTCAGAAGGCACATAAACAACGTATAACTTCTTCGGAGTGAGTAGATTTGATTCATTCGATTAGTAATTGATCCTTCACAAACCAATCTTAGAATGTAAGATTTATGACGAGGTCTTCTTGAAGCGCTGATAAGGGTCAATCATCATATCCCAAGATCCTTTATCTAGCAATAAAAAGCTATATGAAACTAACCCATAAAGAATAGTTATTGCTGGTCAACTTGATTTAAGAACGCAAAGCGCAACATGACTATATACAAAAATTTATTGAAGGGAGCAAAGTCATGGCAATTGATGGCAGACAGAATTATGGTAAGCAGATTGAACAAATCAAAGAAAAGAAAACGGAATTCCAAGTAAGAATGAGTAGAAATATAAAGTAATTCAACTCCGATACCCTGAAAATAATGGTATTACAAGAAAGAAGAGTTGGTATTATTCTGAGACTGATGAATGTCGTTGGACAGGATACACTGAAATACAAAGGAAAACAAGAAGAGAAATTATCACTTCACTATTCCATGATTTGAATCATGATAGGTACAAATATTCATACCATTGATAGCTTTTTAACTAGAAGCATGTATCCAAATATGTAAATGAATCAATAATATACATATATGCATTTAAATCTAATATTAATATAAGTTATTCTAGATTTATTTGAAATAAAGATAGATATTCTCATGATCATTTATCAAGAGCTCACTTAATCAAGAGGATCTATAATTCGATTCAATCACTCTTTAGCTTTGTTAAACAATGATAGAATGTGGCCAAGACCCATTGGCGCCACAAACTGCATATACCACTTGATCCCAACAAAGCGATTAGTTTTAATATCATTTGCTAGGGATTGTGAATTAAAGGTGGCAAGAATTTAGATAGATATATCAGAGGTCAAATCTGTATTTAATCGAAAAGCAAAAGCCAATGGAATAGGACCAACCAGGGTATTCTATACAAACATAGTTTTCTACAACCCGATGGATCTGAACAAATACTCTTGCATGCCTTAACAAATAAAGCATAACTATGCATGAAAAAGAAAACTAGCATCATGATTATGTGTATCCTTCCTCCAAAATTAATTGCTAACACAACTTATGGGATAATCAAAATCTAAAGGGGCTCTTTCACTGCCATTAGGCACATGATCTGCTAGCAACTAAACATGATGCTATCTATTGAATCAAGTACCAGTAAGAACACCAAATTATAGAGAGGAAGGGACAAGATAAAGTAAAGGAAGATCGTAAAGCTAACATTCCCTTCCATTTCCAACAGCAAAAACCAGCATTATTATCCAGCTATTCCCCTTACTGCCACCAATATCAGTGTGGAGAACCGAAGCTACCGAAGTTGACAAGGGTTTATATACTCAGGAGTACTTTGTTTGATAAAAACTTTTGGTAATTTAAATTTGAGCTTGGCAAAGCCATTGGGCTAAGGTCGTTTGTATAAAAAAATAAAATAAAATAAAAGAGAAGAAAATACTATTCATCAGAAATTAACTTTCTTGAAATGTCAATATGAGTTCCCTTCAATTTTGCCCAGAAATTTAATAACTGAATATGAAAATAAATTCTATACAAGGTTAATTTCATAAGATACGTGGAAGTTCCATAAATCAACACTTCTGCGTTCTGTTATCAGCACTCCTGGAATCTCGTCAAATTATATCCAAGAATGACATCATAAAAATACGAAATGCTTAAAAAACCACGAATGGGGCAAAAAATAAAGAGACAGAAAGTACATAAGATAAAATTTCTACAACAGAACACGAAAATCACATTACATATTAACTCTTCTTGGCCATCCTAGAGGTGCAGCCAGTAGAGCATCTCCTTATTAACTTGTTTTCTAGTTTGTCAATTTTCAGTCCTTTTGTTGGGTTTATTCATTTTAAAACGTTTTAATTTTTTATAAAAAGGAAGATAATTGTTTATCCATAAGCTGAATGAGCAAAACCCATCTAATATACACATGAAATTTCATAAAAAACAGAAAGCTCAGATTTCATACAAGACTTATTATTTACATCAATCTATATGCACAAGTAATAATTACGTGAATAGATTAATTTGCAGAAAAGAACATCAGATCTTATGAAAGAGAAAGAAAGCATCAAACATTTGAGCAATACAAGCCAAAACAAAGGAATTCAATGCCAATGATTTGGTGACAAAATCAATACCATGCAACCAATAGGTATATGCACATAGTATGAAAAATATTGATACATAGTATTCAGCAATCAGAATATAATCAGTATACTCAAGGAACATGTCGTACTCATTAGAATATGTTTAAAACTTCATACAATACTTAGTAGGAACAAATGAAGCTGACTCAAATAATTCAAAAAGTTGGCCCTAAAAAGTTGGGAAACATCTGCTGATGATGATTATATGAGAGCATCTCCATTTTACTGTAACCACGAATATACAAAAAATGTCCAGAAATTACCTATAATCTCCTCATTTACAAAAACATGAACAGCATGGCCTTTTGACTCAACCATGAGAATGGGTTGAGTCCCATTATTCAAAAACTTTTCACCTTCATCCACATGAAATCTGTAAAATCCAATAAATGTCTTCAAGACATGTCATCAACATGATGTAGTGAACAGAAATTTCATTCATTTTTGTTACTTTGGCTTGAACATCAAGGATCAAATGAACATTACGTAAGACTCTTTAGCTTACAGCATGCTTGAATAAAAAAAAAAAAACAAGCAATCTAAAGCTGAAATTTTCAAATCCATCCTTTTCCAAGACCAACATGTCAAACCCAACTTGGATAGACACGCATCTATATTTTTTTTTTTTAAATTACAACAACAAGAATGAAATGTGTACACAAGCTTTAGATTGACATGAGATACATTGAGAAAAAATTTTTTGTTATCTCTAGGGATTGAAATGTGTACATAAGGAAAACCTATAAGAATAACAAAAATTACACAAAAAATATTAGAGATAACATGAAAGCCTGTTATATTAAATCCCTAGAAAATCTCTAAAATAACTCATTTGAATCTCCTTAATTGTAACATCATAAAAGAGGGGAGTGACGAAACTTTTTTTTATCCAAGCCACATCTTGTAAATCAAATTTGAAACAAACTACATGAGATACATTGAGAAACTGATGGAAAAAAAATAGAACCAAAGCAAAAGCCAAAATGGAAGTTATAGAGCCATCTAGAGTCAAAGAAAGTGAATGAGCACAATGTTTAATGTTAAGCTAACAAAAATCATAAAACTTACGTTAAATTTATGAAATAAATTCCTAGATAGCACAAATGCACACAGCAACACATATTTAAATGGATTTCAAAAAACAATAGATTTGCATGCTCAAAATCAAGTCAAATTAGTTCAATCCAAGTAAACAAAGAATAGAATAAGTATAACCATGATCCAATCTCGAGCTACTAAACATCAATTAGATTCTACCTTAACATTTCAACTTCCTGGGAAGTTACTTACAGTATGTTCAATGGTTCTGGATTTGCAGCCCTTTTAATAGAAAGAAAGTACAATATTTATGATGTAGAACTAGAATGTATGAGAAATTATGCAATATTAAAATCACACGCCTGTTGAATTTGGGCAATAATAATTATGTTAGCTTCTTGTGACTTGAAAAAAAAGTTAGAACATTAGAACGATGATTAAAGCTTAGGTCAAACTACATGTAAAAGTTTAGAAACACGAATAATCAATTCTAATAAAGAGTAGCAAGCATGGGGGAGTTTCAATAGCAATCCCTAAATTAACAATAACAATAGCTACTAGTTGGGTCCCTCACTCAACTCTTTTAATGATTGGTAAAACGGAGAAAGCATTGCATGATCTTTGTGATGCCAAAAGTTAAGGTAAGTCTTAGAAAGGAAAAAGATTTGGAGGAAAGATTTACCTTGATCAAGATTTGGAAACGATCTGCCATTGCACGGAGGTTAGTTGTTCGTAGATAACTTCAGCGAGGGTGAAGACGATCCTCTGTACGTATTCCTCTACGGTTTGGTCAATTTCCAGATTGATGTCGAAGAACGGAGAGTTAAGAATATCAACTTGACCTTGATCACAGTAACAAATCCGTGATCAAGTTTTGGATCCGCCATGCATGGGTAGAAGAGTTTATCAAAGTATTAGAGAGGAAGTAGTGTTGCTTCTTCTCTCCTTTCTTCCTTGGGTGACGGATCAAACCAAGTACAATGATCGGGAGATGAGTGGGTGGTCGGCCAAGACTAGAACGAGGAGTTCTTTCACAAAATCTTAAATTGAATTTCAGATTTGAGTAGGAGGGAATTAGGGTTTTGAATTTTGAATTTCAAGGGGAGGGAAAAGAAAAACACTCCTTATTGAGAGAATTGATTGAAACTCCAAGAGGGAGGAATTTAATGTGGAAAAGAGAGAGGGAAGGGGGGAGGGGCCAGAGGCATGCTTAGGTTTAGTGGGGATTGGGGAAGGTGATTTAAAGCTTTCCATATCAAGACTCTTAAATAGGGAATAATTGATTTTAATCAAATCCAATTTTAAATTTAATTAGACTTGATTTAAGTAACTTTCCTTAAATAAACCATAATATTTTAAGAAATAATTTCAAATTCAAATTGATTGGGAACTAAAATAAATGACTTTCCTAATTCAAGTTATTGAATAAATGGAAAGTACTAAATAGGGATTTGAATTTTGGAGGCAAGGAAAAGGGGGATAAGGCCGGTGGCTAGGGTTAGATTAGGGTTATGCCATTGGTTTGGAGGAGGAAGGGAACCTTGAAGCCAACGGTTTGGAGAGGTGAGGAGACGCCTTATGGCCAGTGGCATGGAGGTGGAAGATGGGGTGGCTGGCCGGCCGAGAGAGGGAGGGAGATAGGGCCGACGGTTTCTGGAGAGGGAGGGGAGGAAGGGGAATGAGATGGTCGACCACAAATCCGGACGCTTCCTACAGTTGGTGGGTATTGCGATGCCCTCACCAAGGGCCTTCAATCTATCCAAGAACTCTCAAGCTCTCCCAAAACACACAAGTGCAGAATTTCTTATAATAATATTCATTACCCTCAAAAGATGAGGTGGTGGCTTTTAAATAGCCTCATACAATGAAAGGAAATAAAAAAAAAAGACCATCATGCGCTTAGGGCTTATATATGACTATTCCCTCAAGTGAGGGTATAAATGGAAAATGCAATAATAAACTCAAATACATATAATACTAAAAAATATATCAGTGTGATCATGGTTGTAGAACGTCGGCCCCGCCTCTGATAAACTATTTAAGGTCGAATGTCCTCATCAATTTAGGAAAAGGTAAATAGAAACAAAAAGCATTACAAAGGCACAAAAAACTTTATAAGAACATTGCTTAAAACATGTATTCCGTATAGTATAAGTTAACCACAATTTCAATGTTACTTGAAATGAAAAATATCCATCTTGTAAAATTCATTGCTACCGCAATTTAACAATCAATTTGGAGATAGAATGCAGTACATAATTGTTAATTTACACATTTAATGAAACTACAATGAATAGGATACTTTCTGAAACTTATGAGCCATTTAAGCCCAATTAAAGCTTATTTATATGAATTTAAAATTATTAAATCATCTAAAACATTAGCATACTATTCGCACTTATTAACAGTACAATAGAAAAGAAAATCACTACTTTGCTCTCATGTAAGTTCTGCATATATATTTTATCACGTACTTCCAAGGGAAAAGTGTGCAAGGGTGATGCAAGCAAAAGTAAGCAAAAAAAATTAGGAGACCCCTAATTTTTTTGCTAGAAAAATATGACCTTACTAGGATAAAGATATTACAAGAAATAGACAAAATACAACTTTACTATTATAAAAGGACTTACAAACGACACATACTAATGACGCATACAAACTTTGACATAAAATCCTAAACTTGCATTCCTTGAGACAAAAGATACTGATGGTGTCGATTTTACGGAGAGAAGAAGGGATAAGAGGCCGAGACGAAAGAGGAGAAGCTCGCAAGCTTTCCTAGAAGAAGAAGAAATTGACAAAGCTCTTAAGCTTTTCCAAAAAACCTCAGGTTTTCTTACTCCAAAAATTGCATTTTTCACCACCTTTAACCATCCAAAACAACTTCTATATATAGGCAAAATAAGGCAGCTAAACAGCCCCTAAAAATATTAACTAAACCTATAAGATTTAGGGAAATTAAAGGCCAACAACCACCTATCATCAGCCCCCAAACGGTACAGCAAAACAGAGAAGAAAAGACACGGAAACCAAGCAGAAAAGCCGCAAGAACCAAGCAGCCAGCCCATGGAACCAAGCAGCCAACTAAGGGAACCAAAGGGGCAAGCCACAGGAACCAAAGGGAAACCAAGGGACAAGGCACAGGTAAACAGTCAGCCATGGGAAACCAAGGGACAAGGCATGGGAAAATAGCTAGCCACAGGAAACCAAGGGACAAGGCACAGGAAAACAGCCAGCACAGGAAAATGAATAGACAAAGGGATGGAGAAGAGGCAAGGCACGGGAAACCAAAAGCCAAGAGAAAATCAAGAAGAAATATGGGGAAGAAAAAGGGTCAACTCCAAATAATAATGAGCTACCTTTTTAGTTCAATAAATGAACTAAAAACAGCTTATAATGAGCTAAATTTCAGCTCAAAGAATTAATGAGCTAGCAAGTCCAAGAGAAGTTAAAATCCAAAATTTAGAATTTGGTTTGACCCCCCCCCCTGCCTAAATCAAAGGGCATTCCCTAGAAGTGACATATTGTATGGCCTAGATAGAATAAAAAGTGTGCAACAGTCCATTGCACCAGTGCCATGGTGCAATATTAAATAAGCAAGAATTTTCACATCAATGACGGATGTGGGCAAGGAAGTTAGTCCATGAAATTAAAATTACAATAGAAACATGTAATATAGCTTCTCTTACAGGTTAATTAATATAATTAATAAATATTATGATTCATAAAAAAATAAATATTTTATGCATTCAATAAATTAAATGCATTCAAAAAAAGGTAAAGATGTTGATAGTTTAGAATTTATATTATGATATTTAAGTAGAAGTCATACTAGAAATAATGTAAGTGTGATTATAGATATGAATTTTAAAAATAATATTATAGAAAATAATATAATTGGAGATAAAATTATAGTTTTAAAGATTATTGTTGATGCAAACATTCATAATATTATAAATGCGTATGCCCCCTCAAGCAAATTTGGATATGTAGTCAAAATTAAAAATTTTAAATGAGTTAGAAGAACTAATAATACAAATGATATCTCTTAAAGAAAGTTTTTATAGTAGTTTAAATAGACATGTTGGTAGAGTAGTAGAAAATTTCAAAATCATTCATGATGGTTTGGAAAGAACAATAAGAATGATAGGATCATATTCGATTTTGATTTAGCTTATGATTTATAATAGTTGATATTTTATTTAAGAACATAGATGAGCTTCTCATAAATTATAAGTAACTTATAAGAATTGATATAGTAAAATTCATATTGATTATTTTTTTATAAAAAAAAAATAAATCATTTAGAATATGTTAGACCGGTCTAGCCAGTCA